CTTGGCCTCGCACGCGGGGGCAAAGCCCACGCACGGGGGGTCTGGGGGGCGGAGCCCCCCAGCGAGCAAAGCGAGTCAATGCCTATATGTACCATTCATCTCCGACTTCGTACGCATTTTCAGAAATCGCGCTACTGTACATAATTAGGAGACGGCTGCATCACAGTTTCCAATAATTTTAAAAAGAATACAGTTTCCTTATCCCTACGGCCCCCAAAACATCACAGTGGTCGGGACCATCCATAAGCGATGCTGACTTATAAAACTAATTTAAGGACGACCCCGTTACCAAAAATATTGTCAGATTCATAATTAGCGGTACCTAAAACCCCCTTACACATGATTTTACGTCGATAGAAGACGTGGATCTATTTTGGCGGCCTAATCAGGCTCCTCCGACCACTGTGAGGTCGTTTGCATAAGCCCGCTGGATAGCTTTTTCAAAGCAGAAGGGCGGGCTAAAAAACAAGTCATTAAAATCACAAATTTCGAATGGAAATGTCATTAGATTTAAAAAAATTACATGGACTGGACAGTCTAATATTTATCTCTTGCTAGGATTGGTTTACCTAAATTTACAAGGGCACAAACAATAGTAACAATGTCATCAACAAACGGGACAATATTCCAAGCAATCTTGTTCTTCAAAATAGTATACTCACGTAGACTTTGTATTACCCTTTCCACATGTACACGAGCTCTAGCAACATTAGCACAGAACACTGCTTCTGAACGAGTGAACTGTTTGTTCTGCCTAACAAAAGGAGGTCGATACAACAAAAGCATGTGATCCTGACATTCCTCATCAATGGGATAGCCTTTGTCTGCCATTATTGCATCAAGAGGGTCACACTTCTGATAAACTTGGGAATGAGCAGTTACAACCTTGTCAGAAGCACGTCCACCAAAAGCATCACACAAAAGACAAATTAACCCAGATGGAGTCACAGTCATAGACATCTTGGCAGTGAAATTCTTTTTATATTGAGAATATGATCGAACTCTGCAACTAATACATTTAGCTTTCTCTATAGGAGTTTCATAGCAGTCCAGTACTACACGAGTCTTTTTGAACTTGGAAAAGCACTTTGGCATGTTTTTTAGAACACTGCCTTTGTCTGGCCAGAAAACCATACATTTTAAAATTTTATATAAAACTAAAACAGAATCATAGAAGTAGTTGGAACAAGTTTGTTGAGTTACATCAAAAAGAACTGAGAGAGCAGAGAAACTTATGCCAAGTTTAATTTTCATCATGGCCAAAATGATTCTGTCTTGAGTACATATAGAGAATTTTTTATGGGTACTCTCAATTGCAATTCTATCAAAACAAATGGTTAGTGATTTTAATAATTTTACTGAGTGCAAACCTGTAGCTGTAAACAATTTTTGATCAGAGCTAGTGATGCTGGAAATGAATGCTGATGTAGATTTATCTGCTCCCAATAAGTCTACTTGTACTCCAACATCCCTCAAGATTTTCTCTTCCTTCTTGTCAATTTCACCAAGATCCTGCCACTCACTGTCACGGTCCACCTCATTAGGAATTTCACCTGTCAAATCCATTGCACAAAGGGAAGTTATTCCACAATTCATTGATTTAATTAACTTGTCAGTAAAAGTACTGACCAAAAAAAAGTATGACACCATACCATATCTTAAGAACTTTTTCAAAAATATGCAATGATAAAAGTTTTAAGATTAAGAGCTTAAATTTATCAACAGATTTTTTTCTTTTCATGCCAATACGGCTTTAGACCTGACAAAGATGCTCATGGAGCAGTCTTTGATCTCGTAATAGAGCTACAAGGGGCCTTAGACCAGAGTAAATGGGCAGCTGCAGTCATGATAGACCTTAAAAAAGCTTTTGACACTGTCAACCACAACATTCTACTTGAGAAGCTCCGGAAGATAGGTGTCATAGGCAAAGCTCATAAGTGGATGGTCTCCTACCTATCTCAAAGACCACAGTGTGTCAAAGTAATGAGCTTGCTAAGCAACATAGAAAATATTCTCTGTGGTGTACCTCAAGGATCCATCTTAGGCCCTCTACTCTTTATTATCTACATCAATGATATTGGAAGGTTGGAACTAAAAGGGAATCTGAAGCTCTTTGCTGACGATGCAGTACTTAGTTATGTTGATGATGATCCAGTCCGTATGCAAGAGAACATGAACCACGACCTCGCCAAAATAAGTAAATGGTTCAATGCAAATAAGTTAAGCCTGAATGTCCAGAAGACTAACTATATTATTTTCAAGAAACCTTCATACCAGGACATAAATTTCGAAATCAAGATTAACAACACTGAATTAGAAAGGAAGTATGAAATCAAATACCTCGGTTTGTACTTGGATCAAAACTTAAACTGGAACAAGCATATCTCAACTCTATTACCAAAATTAAGATCAGTCAACAGATTATTATTTAGGCTAAAAAATATTCTGAACTACTCTCTTCTAAAAACTATATATTATGCCTATTTCGACTCTCAAATGGCCTACATGTCGATGACATGGGGTACTGCTAACCAGCTATTAGTAAACAAAATACGGGTCTTACAAAATGGAGCTCTTAGAAATATCCTTAAAGTGGATCGCCTTACATCTAGAAAAAATATCTACCTTACAACTGAAGTAATGCCACTTGATGCTTTGACGCAGACTAATCTCACCCTCACAATCTTTAAAAATCAGATCAGATCCAAGACCATAAATACGAAGATCCTAACAAATGACAATGTCCATAATTATCCCACAAGAAGTTCTCGACTGATCCGTATACCTAATGTCAACACTACAACTTATGGACAAAATGGTATACTTTTCCGAGCAACCCATCTGTATAATGAACTCCCTAACTCTGTAGCAGTCTCAAGTAACTGTCTTCAACAAACCAAGAAAATCATTAAGAAGCACTTCTTCCACGAAATTGTAAATCAATTCTGATTTCCAAATATCTTAACAAATATCCTACAAATAACAATCTCCTTTATTTCCTCTTCTCTTTCATAAATTTTTCATAATTTTTTTGTTTTTAACATAATCACTCTGCAGCTAACCGACCATGTTTGTTTATTTGTTGCAACTGAGTCCATAACAGGGCATCTGCCCTCTGGACATTATTGTATGAATATAAAATAAAAAAAAATAAAAATAATAATACACCCATGATAAATTGATTCAATGACACTAAACTAATACGTAATTATACAGCAATGAAGAAAAAGACAAATTGTAACAAAATACTAAGAGTAACAAAAAAGACGATGGTGATGGTGATGACGATGACAATGACAATGATGAAGATAATAAAAATAATACTAAGACTATTGGCATGGAATGACAGATGGCATCTGCAGAACAAAAACCACTTCAGACCACTTTACCATCACCGGCTGGAGGCTCTTCATTCTCACAGTTCTCACCATCCACAGTAGAGGTACTCACATTATCCAGAATCCTACCAAAGATACAAGAGAAAAAAATTAATAATGCCACAATAGACCTGTTACAAAAAGTGTCAAGGAATAATGACAAGAAATTTGCCTTTTAGCACGGTTTGCAACTCTATTACCCCTGGCTTGCTTTCCCCGTTTTAAGGGAGAAGATTCAACTCTGTCATGAGATCTGGTAGGAAGATGCAAAGTGGGTATGGCAGTCTTTTTAAGTTTAGGCTTCTGATTAAAACCACCTGCAATTAAATTACATTGAATTACAAATGTAAACAATCAGCAAGCTCATTGGCAAAAGAGGAGACCGACTTCCAAACTTACTTGAGGGGAAATAGTCATCTGGTTTTAAGTGCTTGCTGCATACTTGCATTCTTGGCGATAAAGGTTTTCCTGTCTCTATTGCCACAGCCCATAATTTACGACGAGAAATGTCATCCGGCACCCTATGCAAGTGATTTCCTATACGGCTTTAACCTCAGAACACTGCGGGACACAACAATTGTGTCGGTCCCTCTTCTTCTTCGGCTTAGCTCCGGGTTTTACGGAGTTCTGGGGCTCGGACATTGATGGAAATTAATAGACAGTGGTCTACAATCAATATTAGGACTGACAAAAATGATTTAGGACCTCCGAGCCCCACGAAAGATCTCGTCAAACGCGAAACGCATGCCCACCGCCATTCATAGCGCCAGGAGCGGTCACGGTCTTCCTAGTTGGCGCACCGGCCGCTAGGGGCGCGCGACGCACTGTTTGAATCGCTAATTTGTCTAGAGCGCTGAGCGGAAGTAGAAGAACAAAAACGGAAGGTGGAAAGGCGCCCGCACTCCTCCCCGCCTGCTGCCTCCTCTTCCCCCCGGGCGCTCCCCCACTCCGCACAGTTGAGGAGAGGGGGACGGCGCGGGCGCCTTTCCACCTTCCGTTTTTGTTCTTCTACTTCAGCTCAGCGTTCTAGACCAATACCCTATGCCTTCTCGAGTTATCGTGCGGACAGACAAACAAACACAATGAAACTTTTCCAGTCAGTTCAGTTATGGGCTTCGCTAATCGCTCAGCCAACTATCTATTTCCTATGGGACGAAAATCTTTTCCAGCCAGCTATCGTAATGGAGGCGAAAAACCACTGTTGTGGATTGAAGCAGGAATCGATAAAAATACAACAGAATGGTGGATAGTTTAAATTTGATAGACCAGCAACAATGACCTGGTAGTGCAAAAGCCATTACTTTCAGATTTTCGCTATCGTTAATAAAATTGACCGATTGAAGAAAAAGAAAAACACTTTGTCCGACAGTTTTGTGTTACTGGTGTTACTAGGGTACACATTGAGTTTGACAGAGCTGTTAAGACAAAAGATTTCCTAAGAAACTATCTTCGCTCACCTCCACCTCTGAGTATTTTCGCAACCACGCGTTGACACTTGAGGTGTCGTAGAACATGGCGACTTGAACCATAACGTATACAGCCACCCCGTACAGCGGGAAGAGCCGCCACAGCAAAAAGCGGCTCCAGCGGACGTTAGCCGTGAGTGCAGTCTGAACAAAAAAACAAAAAACAAAACAAAACAACAACATGAAAACGAGCCCCGTGTGTCTCGCTAAGCTCGAACTGCAAATTAAAGAGGCAAACTTCTGAAAAGCAAGTTTTTGAGGAAAGCGTCGCTAGATAAAACAAGCAGGCCCGCCCTTCCGCCAAACGAAGTTGGCAGCTCCACTTCGCTGCGCCGGCGACTCTGATCGGCAGGGGCCGGGCCTGCTTGGCCTGCCGGTGGCGATGGTCGGGCCTTCGGCCCGACCATTTCAGTCTCGCGATTTACCGAAGTGCATGGTCAAATAAATAATGTGGCCACTTTGCATGTTTGAGTAAACTAACGCGTCCGGTGGGAGGCCTGCGGCCCTAGAAATTTGCTCGTTCGACATGGCAAAAGACTGTAACGGGGCAACACCGTGACTACACCCCACCCTTCTGCTTTGCTTGAGAATAAAATGAACCCGCGCAGTTTTTAGGTTGTATGTTGTTTGTCAATTTTTGCCATTGTTTTCAATGTATCCACCTCTAGGGCCGAAACAGTGAAAGATACGGCAAATCCGAGG